TTAATTTCTTGTTTACTGCAAGCCTAACCAATAAATCGATCATGCTCAGCTGTTATTAAAATGATATCTTGCCCCAAGAAAACCATCTCCCCATCATTTTTACTTGCTACAGTACTATTAGAGGAAACTGAGGCCAACAAAGGTTGAGTGACTTGCCTGAGGTCACACAACTAGTAAGTATCTGAGCCTGGATTTGAACCACAGTCTCCCTGAATCCAGGCCCAGTGTTTTATTCTTTGCTCCACCAAACTGCCAAAGGTGTTGGACTTTGACCCAAGAAGGCTGGAATTCAAATCTTGCCTCAGGTACTTTGCAGTTGTGTGACCCTGTGCTGTGGTTTGGGGTGCTGGGAACTCTGAAATGCAAGGGTACAAGGGGGTCTGCCTTGAAAGAATTCAACCAACTCAAGCCTCCTTTCAGTCAAAGTAGTGAGGTTTATTGTAACACCAGTATGGTGTGCAGATTCCTAGTAAATCTGCAGCTTAATGGGGATGAGAATGATGCTTTTATACAGAAAAAGAAAAAGAGAGTCAGTGAAAAGATTTTGACGGGATTAAGGAGTGGTTAGTAGTCTGGAGCGGAACAAGAGGTATAGTGAAAGGAGCATCAAGTTAACAGGTGGTCTAGGTGAGCTGCGGTGGGCTGGTTGCCTTGGGGGAGGCCAGTGATCTGGGGTGCTGAAATGCATGGGAAAATTCAGGGGCTAGCTCGCTTCCAGATATAGTCTTCTCCTTTAGGGGTCCAGGTCCCATAACCCCATTACCTGGATGAATCACTTAATTACTCTTAGCCTCAGTTTTTTCATCGGTAAAATGGCTGAAATTTGTGGGAGAGAACATAGGGAACATGGAGGGCCAGGACCAAGCTTTGAGGGATACCCATAGTTAAGGGACAAGTGGTAGATGATGATCTAGCAAAAAAGACTGAGAAGGGATCTTTTCAGATGGGGCAGAAGAAAAAACAGGAGAGAAGTATCATAGAAGCCAAGGGAGAGAGATTAGCTATGAGGAGGGAGTGGTTAGCAGTGTCAAATGTTTCAGGAAGGTCAAAAAAGATAAGACAGCCTTAGTAAGTTGGGGAAGAGAATGATTTCTGGTGGGGTTATTGGAAGCCAAGCTACAAGAGACTAAAATGTGATTGGGTTGTGACGAAGGAGAGGCAGCCAGTGTAGAAGGTGATCTCAAGAGTAGCTGAGTATGGAAAGGAAAAAAGAGATCAGGCTGAGGGACTGATAGAATTGAAGGTTGGAAGAGTTTAAGCATGCTTGTAGGCAAAGGATTGATAAAGGTCAAAGAAGGTAGAGCGAATGGTGGATGAAGCAAGCTCCTGGAGCAGGACAGGGGGGAAGAGAAGAGGGGGATGGCCCTTAGCAAGGACGATGCCCTCCCTCTCGTCTCGGATGAGGAAAGGACTGGCTGGTGAAAATTTAGGAAGCTTTTGAGATGAAGAGCCTCCGTTTTCTTTTGATGGGAGTAGAGATGGGAACAGAACTAGTTTTCTGGTGCTCTTGAAAAGACAATGTTTGCTACATCCCATTTGGGAAGGGTTATAAAAATGGTCAAGGAAAAATGAAAGGATTTAATGAAAAGTACCAAGGATCCTATAAAAGTTAAGTAGCAGTAATTTTATGATGGGCTCAGTCCGAGCAGCTGCCACTTTCTTCTGTTCAGCTTTTAGCATCCCAGATGTAGGAACAAAGCAGGTAGATGGTGGGTGTGGAATAGGGATGAATAGCAAGAGGGCAAGGGAGTAAAGGCTTTAAAGATAAAGATAGGGAATGGGGAATTTTACCAGACTCTTCGACCATAAGGTCAAGACCTCCAAGGAAAGAACTACAGCCACAGCGAGGGTGATGTGTGTGGTCAAATTCTTTCAAGACAGATCCATGTAGCAGCCTGAGTATCAAACATGTGACCTGCCATACTCCTGAGTGTTGGCCCAAACCAGATTAAAACGTAAGTAGGAAATATATGACAAAATAAATAAAGATACACTAGAAAGTAAATCATATTAATATGTGGTTTTCTGAATCAAATATGGCCAGCAGGGAGTCTTGTGTGTGGTTTGGCTAGCAGCCTCAAGACCACATGTGGCCTTAAGACCGAAGGTTCCCCACCCCTGGTTTAGCCTCTCTTATTTCTATTTGAGTTTGACCCTCTGCTCTAGAAAACCTGGAGTAATAAAATTACAGTTACAAGGAGATCTATGCTTATTTGATGCTGTTGTTTACTCAGCCAGGATCTGTATACTCTTTTATGGGCAGGTAGGTGGTGTAGTGGGTAGAGTGCTGGGCCTGGAATCAGGAAAACCTGAGTTCAAATCCTTCCTCTGGCACCTAGTAGCTGTATGACCTTGGTCTAGTCACTTCTATTTGCTTCAGTTTCCTCATCTGTAAAAAATGATCTGGAGAAGGAAATAGCAAACCATTCCAGTATCTTTGCTAAGAAAACCCCAAATAGGGTCCTGACATGATTGAACAATATGCTCTTTTTTGTTTCTTCATAATACTATCTATTTGATATTGTAATCTCCAGTAAAGCAGAAACTATGTATTTCCCTAATTTTTAAAACTCCTAGCACAAATCAGTGAACCTCTTTGTACTTAATAAAAGCAATTTTTAAAAATTGATCTTTTCCCTCTCTATTGTGAATGATACTCCCTACTCAAAACCAAGAGATACAGATCACTATCTCTACTGTAATAAGAACAGGTTCAGGGGTGTGTAGCATTCAAAGCAGGTTTTTTTTTTCCAAAATGAAAAAAAAACATATCCAAACATTGGAGCCAAAGTACTGATGACAGGGACCCAGCAATGAATAAAACAGCCTTAGATTAGGTCTGGCTTCAGTGTTATTTCTGTAAAGATTATTATGTTACCCTCTGTAGGCAGATAGTTTTGCAGTCAGTAATGTTTACAATTCAGTGGTGCTGTTTGTTGGAGAATAAACACACCAGCCAGAGATCAGAGAAGAGTTTTAATGGGTATGGAGGGAAGAGAGTAGAAAAAAATAGACAAGGAGATTCTGTTGCCACTGATATCATCTCTAGTTCTTGACTTGCTGACAGCAGTTTCTAGCTATTTGACTATTTCCGGTCAGCTCAATTGGTTTTTGGCACAGATATAGTGTGGGTTCAGTAGATGAAGGAGATATAATCTGTGTCTAGAAGCTACAGGGTGTGTGCACAGATCAGCTCAGAGCAGCAGAACATCCTGGTTGTATTCAAGCTTATTACTCTGATTTCTGGCAAAATTTCTTTTTCTTTCTTTCTTTCTTTCTTTCTTTCTTTCTTTCTTTCTTTCTTTCTTTCTTTCTTTCTTTCTTTCTTTCTTTCTTTCTTGTAAAATGGGAGCTCCTTCAGGAAAGTAGCAGTTAACTATTTTATCTTTGTATCTGCCAATATATTGCACACAGTAGGTGCTTAATAAATGCTTTTTGGACTAGATTTAATTCACTTTACTTTAAAAAGGCAATAGTAGGGAGGTTCTTCTGGCTGCTTAGCTAATTATAATAACAGTAACAGGTAGCATTTATATATCAATTTGAGGTTTGCAAAGCACTTTACAAATAATCTCATTTGGTCCTCACAGCAACCCTGGGAAGTATGTGCTGTTATCATACCCATCTTGCAGGTGATGAAGCTGAGGTAGAGAAAACCATCAACACTTATTTCATTGGGCACTAAGCCTGACTAAAGTGAAGCTTCATCAAGTAGGGAAGTAGAGTCAAATAATAGGTGTATAAATGTGGAATGAAAAGACCCAGGTTCTAATCCTGGCTCTGCTATGGAAACTCACTATGCAACTTTAAGTATGTCACTTCACGGCTAGGGGCCTGTTTTCCTTCTCATTTATTTAAGGATTTGTACCAGAAGAGAAATTCTTAACACTGAGGAGTGAGAGTGGGGATGGAATCCTTTGGCAGTCTCGGGAAGCTTCTGGGCCTCTTCTCAGAATAACAGTTTGTGGTCAACATTCATAATAGAAGGAAATACTAAATTTCAGTGATAGGTTGCCCACCCAAGTTCACAGACCCCCCCTGAAATCTATCTAGGGACCTCCTTAGAGGTTAAAAGCATGTGTATTAGATGGTCTCAATTTAAAGATGCCATAGATTCTAAAGCTCCTCTTCCCCATCCTCTGACTGGCTTAAGCCTGCCCTGATAGAAAGGGGAGAGTAAACTGCCATAAGTATTGGGAAAAGTTAAGCTTCTAATGATGTGGTTAACAACAACTATATTTTTAGCGAAACTTGGGAATTTTAGAGTGCATAGAGATAGAGTGAATAGGGATTGATTATTTATTCTTAGAGCTCTATTTTAGTGCTAATAGTCTTTGATTATTGGCATAAAGTGAAAAAATCAGAACAGGAAGAATTACAAATGAATAAAATGCCCCAGAGGAGTATATGCTATGATTTGATTTGATTTGAATTTTTCAAATAGACCAAGAGTCATTATGGCATAGTGGGTGGCATGCTAGATTTATAAAGAGAAAATCTAGGTGAGAAACTCACCCTACCCTCTTGCAGCCTCAGGCAATCTTTGAAGATATCAGCTAGAGATGGGTCCAACACTTAGGCCCAGAAGGGAACTTAAAGGCTGTTTAATCCCCCATTTTTCAAATGAGGAAACTGAGGCCCCAAGAGTTTAAATGATTAGTTCACACAAATAGAATCATAGTATCATTCTGAGCTGGAAGTCACCTTAAAGGTCGTTTGGTCTAAATCCTCATTTTACAGATGAGGAAACTGCGGCACAGACAGATGAAGTGACTTATCCAAAGTCACTCAGAAGGCAAATGGCACACCTGGAGTTTTGACCTCTAATCTGCCTCCAAAAACAGCATTCCTTCTTCTGTAATCCACCTGTTGAAAAACAAACAAACAAACCAAACTACTTTCATAAGCTTGGATGTTTATCCAGGTAGATCCTTAGTCAATTCCATCCCATTTCTTCTTTTCCTGGCTTTAAGAGTAATATAATTTTGTTACAATTACAGTGGAGCCAGAATTTAAGTATATTGGAAACATGCATGGGAATGAAGTGCTGGGGAGAGAACTGCTGATCCAACTTTGCGAGTTCCTGTGTGAAGAGTACCGCCAGAGGAATGAACGCATTGTGCGGCTGATTCACAACACAAGGATTCACATCCTGCCTTCCATGAACCCAGATGGTTATGAAGTAGCTGCAGACCAGGTACTGGGGCTTGATGACAGCTAGCATTTATTTATATGGTGCCTGTTACTTTTTAAAGGGTTGTTTGTTTGTTTTCTTAAGCTCTGCAAAGTGCTTTGTAAATATCTCATTTTTATCCTCATAATAGCCTTGGGAAATAGGGGCTAGTATCCCCATTTTATAGATGATGGCATTGAGGCCCACAAAGGATAACTACTTTGACCGGGGTCACACAAGAGTAAGTGACTGGGCTTTAAACTCAGGTTATCTTTCTTTCTTTCTTTCTTTCTTTCTTTCTTTCTTTCTTTCTTTCTTTCTTTCTTTCTTTCTTAATAATTAATTAATTAATTTTTAGTTTGCAACATTCACTTCTGTAAGATTTTGAGTTTTAAATTTTTTCCTTTTCCCTTTCCTCTCTCTACCCCCGTCCGATGGCATCCAATCTGATATAGGCTCTACTTATACATTCATATTAAGTATATTTTCCTATTAGTCATAATACAAAGAACGATTAGAGCTAATGGGAGGAACCACAAGAGTGAAGCAATAAAACAAAACAACAAAGGAAAAGGAGAGCAAATAATGCTTCGATCTGCATTCAGACTCCATAGTTCTTTTTCTGGATGTGGATAGCATTTTCCATTGTGAGTCTTTTAGAATTGTCTTAGATTCTTGCATTGCTGTGAAGACCTAAGTCTATCAAAGTCAGTCATCGTACAGTGTGGCTGTTACTGTGTACAGTGTTATCTTGGTTCTGCTCATTTCATTAAGCATCGGTCCATACAAGTCTTTCCAAGTTTTTCTGAAGTCCACTTGATCATCATTTCTTGCAGTACAATAGTATTCCATTACATTCATATACCATAACTTGTTCAGCCATTCCCCAGTTGATGGGCATCTCTTCAATTTCCAATTCTTTGCCACCACAAAAAGAGCTCCTATAAATATTTTTGTACATGTGGGTCCTTTTCCCTTTATGATCTCTTTGGGATATAGACATAGAAGTAGTATTGCTGGGTCAAAGGGTATGCACATTTTTATAGCCCTTTAGGCATAGTTTCAAATTGCTCTCCAAAATGGTTGGTTCAGTTCACAACTCCACCACAATGCATTAATGTTCTAATTTCCCACATCTCCTCCAACATTTATCATTGTCCTGTTTTGTCATGTTAGCCAATCTGATAGGTGTGATGTGGTACCTCAGAGTTTTGATTTGCATTTCTCTCATCAATAGCGATTTAGAGCATTTCTTCATGACTATAGATAGCTTTAGTATCTTCCTCTGAAAACTGCCTGTTCATGTCCTTTGACCATTTATCAGTTGAGGAATGACTTGTATTCTTATAAATATGACTCAGTTCTCTATACATTTTAGGAATAAGGCCTTTATCAGAGACACTGGTTGTAAAAATTCTTTCCCAGTTTTCTGCTTTCCTCCTAATCTTGGATGCATTGGCTTTGTTTGTGCAATAAAGATTTGTGAAACTCAGATTTTCTTAATGGGGCTTTAAACTCTTGACTCTGGGCCCCATGCTCTATCCACTACACCACACAGGTTCCTGAAAATTTCTTTCCTAAAGTTAACTGGTATAGCAAACCTCCCAAACTGCGTGTCTGGTTTGAACTCATCACCAACCTTCACTCCAACCCCTATTCCGTATACATGCTATTAGATTATGAACTCCTTGAGGGCAGGAACTGTCTTTTACCTCTTTTTGTATCCCCAGTACTTAGTACAGTGCCTGGCACATAGTAGGTGCCTGACGAATAAATGTTTATTGCTTGATAGGGATCTGAGACAGCAAAAAATTATTGCCCTTTGGTCATAAGATCATAGATTCAAAACCAAAACCAAAAAAACTAGTTCCAATATTCATTTTACAGGAGGGCCAGAGAAAGGAAGTGATTTGGCCCAAGATTACACAGGGACTAAGTAACAGATCTGAGCTTCCGTCTCAGGTCTCTTGACCCCAAATATAGATATTTCCACTCTGTCAAATTCTTGAACTTTGATGAAAGCCAAACAAAACAGATCCCAAAATTTTCTGACAGGTTAGAGCATTGGGCTGAACCTAATAAGATAAAATTCAATAGGGATTAATAATTTTGCTCTTGGGTACAAAAAGCATCAACTCTACAAATGGATGGCAGAGGCATGTATATATTAGCAGTTCTGAAGAGGATTTGGGGGGGGGCATAATATACTATAAGCTCAATGTAAGGCAGCATTGCAATATGCCACCCTCCCCTTTCCACCTCAAAAAAGCTAATGCACTCTTGGGCTAGATTAGGAGGGGAATAATCTCCAGGAAAAAGATGGTGCTTATCCTACTGTACTCTGCCCTTGTCAGACCTCCTCTGGAGTATTATATTAGTTCTGGGTACTGTGGTTTAAGAAGGACATTGATATGCTAGAAAGTGTCCAGAGGAGGTCAGCCAGGATGGTGTAGAGCCTGGAATTCATGAAGCATGAATATTGCTGAGGGGACATGAAGGCTGTCTTCAAGTATTTGCAGGGCTGTCATCTAGAGAAGAAGGATCAGACATGTTCTCTTTGGTCCCAGAGGGAAGAACCAAGAAGAATGGGTAGAAGGAGAAAAGAGGCCAATTTAGGCTTGGATGTCTGGAAAAACCTTCCTAACAATTAGAGCTGTCCAGGAGGGGGACGGGCTTGCCTTGAGAGGTGTTGGCTTCTCCTTCCTTGGAGGTCTTCCAAGAAGAGACTGGACAACTCCTCGAATGTATTTTAGTGAGGATTCCTTTCATGTAGAGGCTGAACTAGAGAGCTGCTGAGGTTCCTTCCAACTGTCAAATTCTGTGATTCTCAATTCAAACTCCTTTACCACTGCAAATAATAGTAGTTATCCCTTCCACATCTTGACTTTCCCCATAGTGGTTTCAATATATTGTGGGTTGGTGTAAGAAATTAAATGGGAATTGTGGGGACTTTTGCAGAAGCTGCAGATGACATGAAAGCCCACAGACAGTACAGAATAAGTTTAGAAAGTCAGAAATGCATAAAATATACATATAGTATTGTGTAATTTCAACGTATTTTATCTTTTAATACCATAATAATTCAGACTTCTTCTCTGGTGTGAAGAGAGGGCCGAAAACTTTTACATAGATTTTCCAGCTCTCAGGGGTGTTGTGTCCCTAGCCCCCACAATGTGAAAAGGATAACTATAATAACTAACATTTATGAAGCATGAATTATATTCCAGGAACAGTACTAAGTACTTTATAATTATTATCTCAGAAGGCTGTTCCCTAAACTTTGTTTAGCTTAGACTTGTGCATTCAAGTTGTCCCTGCGTCTTAGTAACTAAATAAATATACTTTTCTTGGATATTTAAGACCCAGTGCTTTGATCATAGGTTTTCCTTAGAATCATACAATAATAGAATGTTAGAGCTGGGAGGGAACTTTAATTTCATCTAGGCCGATGCTCTCATATTATAGGTTTTTAAAAAAGCCACCCTAAAATGAAAAATCACTTGCCTGAAGCTTCTGCACAATAGTAATGGATGGATTTTTGCTGTGAAATATAAGATCATAAGATTGAAGCGTACTAGTAATGGTTTTAATCAAGCCAGAGTTGATTATGGTGAATTGAGGCCACTCCTAGATAGGCCTTATCCCCAAAATGAGATCTTTTTAAAAGAAAAAATACACTAAAGAAAATCAATAGTAGACTGCATCCAAGTTTTTTTATAAGCCAAATTTGGGGTATGTGTGGGAGGAAAGCAAAGCCTATCCTGACGGTTTGAGATTGTTTGAAATGAGCAAAACAAATTAAAATATATGGATGGCCACTAGCATGCTTGAATTCTGGGGAGTTTTGCAGAAGCTGCAGACAACACAAAAGCCAGCAGATGATACAGAAAAAATTTAGAAACTCAGAAATGCATAAAATACATGCATAGTATTGTATAATACCAACGTATTTTATCTTTTAATACCACAATAATTCAGACTTCTTCCCTGGTGTGAAGGGAGGGCCAAAAACTTTTACATAGATTTTTTAGATTGCAGGGGTGCTGTGTCCCCAGCCCCCACAATGCGTACAGGATAACTGTAATAATAACTAACATTTATGTAGCATGAATTGTCAATAGAAATGTTTTAATGACATCTTGAAGACAGAGTGGGTTGAAGAACATCTCATAAAATCGATAACTACGTGAAAGAGAATGATAATGATGATACTACCTACAAAAATTCCTAAGCTGCTACTAAAGCAGATCTCAGAGTAACAATCATATCTCTGAGAATATACACTTAACCAAATAGAAAAAGGAAGGATTGATGGATTCAACATATGACTTTAAAAAGTAGAAAATCAACAAATAGACTTCAAATGTAAATAGATCACTGATTTATCAGTTTGCTGCTTATTCTTCCCTGCTGGGCAAACTAGAAACTTCTTTTACACGGAACTCAGCTCTAGGGTAGGACACTTGTTTCTCTTCTTAGGGCTTATCATATGCCTTTCTGAGACTCTATTGTTAGAGTTTTATGATTGACACGAGGATTTATCACAGTGAAACCTGATTCTTTAGCATCCTCTTCTCTTTCTTTCCCTCCCCTCCCCTCCCTTCCCTTCCCCCTCCTTTTCCCTATTCTCCCTTCCCTTCCCCTCCCCTCTCCCCCCACCCCACTCTTGCTCCCTCTCTCTGTGGGGTGTGTTGTATGTGTGTGTGTTTAAGACTGGGTCTCCCCATCTTGCCTATACTGAAAATGCAGGGGCTACTCGCAGGCCCATTGCCACTATACAGAACACCGAGTCATTATGAAAACCAATATTGTCCCCAAAGAACAGAGAATGAAATATACCTATCATCTTCTTACATAGAGCCAGGGACTATACACTTGAGCAGACTGTTACATACATTGTCAATGTGGTCACAGTATCAGTTGTTTTTAGTTAACTGTATTTCTTTGTTACAATGGAGGACTGAGTTTTAGAAATGAGATAGCAGGAGAGTGTAAAGCAGCATATCCAAAAGATGCCTGTGACC